GCGTAAGAAACTAATAGCTAACAATATGCTATGGAAAAAAGCTGTTCTAAAACCGAGACTTAACAAACAACATCTAAAAAAGCAAAAAGAATTTTGCCAAAGTGTCAAAAAATGGTCTAAAGAAAAATGGAGGACAGTAATGTTCAGTGATGAGATATTTTAAATAACAACTTGTTACCATCAATTGATGCACTTGAGCAAAGCGTTCTGTTCATTTTTCAGCAAGACAATGCACCATGCCACAGGGCTAAAATTGTCTCTGAATGGTTTGAAAGCAAAAATATTGAGCATCTAACTTGGCCACCAAATAGTCCAGATCTAAATTGCATTGAAAATCTTAAGAGTTGGCTTGATAAACAGATTACCAAGAAAGCACCAAGGAGCCTTGAGGAGTTGCACAATATTTTACCAACAATACTTAGAAATATTATCAAACATATTTTAGAGAATTTAATAGACTCAATGCCAAATTGTATAAATGAGTGCTTAAAAATTCATATGACGCGGTATTAGGTAAAAATTACCGTTTTTTGTTCTGTGATTCTTAACTTTTTCACAATTTATTTAAAATAAAAATTACCTACAAAACTTTAAACACATTTTTTTTATTTGTTTAAAAGTCTAAGACATTATTATTATTTTTTATTTTGTTTGTCTATTTCCTAAAAATTATTATTATTATTTTTTTACCAGAAAATTATATTTGACTAAATAAAAATTTAAAAATAAAAATTAATTATGATTTGTTTTTTTGGTGGTTCTTAACTTTTTCATAATACTGTATATATATATACATGTATATATTAGTGATTTCGCAGGTTATCCGGTTTTGCGGTTAACCGGATTTTGTTCGAATATCAAATATCTATTTTCGAATAATAAAAACCAAGTTAAAAATTTTACAAAATTTTATAGAAAGTAACATTATAATTATGACGATTATTGTTTGACAAATGTTAATTTATCAAAGATTATAATATATTTCTTGTATTAATTTAAATGTTAATTTAATCAGTTTTGTTTGATAATATATTCTTAAAACAATTTACAATAGAAATCTCAAAGATTTATTTATTACTTTTACAACTCAAGCAATACATTTTTAAGAAAGTTTCTTCAGAATATTCTGGAACTCTAATTCGCTTATTCAGTGTATTTTTTGAACCAATAGAATTTGTTTATTCGTAGATTTGGCGGTATTTTAGTGTTAGCAAATATTCTTTATATTATCTTTATGCAACAAGTTCTTTTGAGAACATTCAAGTTTATCTATGTTTCCATCTATGTCCGCATAACAATATGTTTTTAAAATACACACTAAAAAAATTTACTTCATAACATCTCATTTTTCCAAATCAAATGTTTTTACATGAGAGAATGATTTTAAAATATCTGCTGATATTAAAACATTTAAACTATACTTGTACATTATTCCTACCTTTTTTAATTATATAATTAAAATGGTATATTATATTATAATATAAAAAATATGTATATCTTTTTCCATGTTTTGTTATAAATATATAATAAAGGACTGTATTCACTAACTGTCTTGAAAATGTACACTTTTTTTTTGTTCTTTATTACATTTTAAACAACATTCCGTTATAAATATACAAATTAAAAAAATAAAATATAGAAGTTACAAGAAAATAACAAAAAAAAAATCGTAAATAAGAAATAAAAGAACGCGGGGACTCGTAGAAGAGCGTAAGGTCTTGTCGTCGAGAACCGCTAAAATGAATGTGATACAAACAAATTAAAAATATTCAGAAAACCCGTTATAAATATAAAGATCAGTTATATAAATACTATATAAGTTAATAAACATATAAATTGTTGTATATATTGATACATATTCTTGGTAAATATATAAATTATAAAATAATAATAGTTCTTTGATAAGTGGAGGTAAAATGGGAAAACTATTAAAAATTATTAAAAGTAAATTGATAGATCGTCAATTGTAAAAATTAATTCTTTTAACTTTCGTTTAAAAGAGTTGTAGTTACATTGTTGGATAAAATCTTGAGAAAAGTTTTTTAAGACAATTTTGTTCCATAAGAATGGTTCGCAAGAAGTAATGCAGAATTTGCTCAAGTTAGTTTGAAAAAATGGCTGCTTAATAAAATTGTTATTGCGTAAAAAGTATTTATTTTTATCTTTTGACATATACAAATCATGGAAAAAAACTGGTGAAGAATTAGTTTTACATTTGAACATAAAACAAAGAGTATTATAAACATTGAGTTGATATACATTTAAGGCGTTCATTTTTTTAAATAGAGGATTTGCATGAGTAAGACGTTCACTAAAATGTATCAAACGTGCTGCATGCTTCTGATGACGATAAAGATGTTCAAGTTTGCTATTGGTGCAAGCCCATGCAATGTTTGTATAACTTATATGGCTATGGATAAAAGAGAAATATAATTGAGTTAAAATTTTTTTATTTAAAAAGTTTCTTGCTTTATATAAAATTCCTAAACTTTTTGAAGTTTTGTTATATAAATTTTCAATATGATTTTTCCATGAAAGATTATCATCAATATAAACACCTAAGAATTTTGTAACGTTTACTCTAATTATTTCGATGTTATCAATAAAAAGGGATGGCATTTCATAAAGCAGTAGTTTTTTCTTAGAGGGCGGGTGAAAGAGAGTCCAGTTTGTTTTTTGAATATTAAGCGATAATTTATTTAATTTAAACCAGTAAGAAATCTTGTTTAATTCTACATTCATAAGTTGAAACAGAGTAGTGATGTTAGTATGAGATAAGAATAAGTTTGTATCGTCTGCAAACATGATTGTTTTTAATCTGGATACTTTATAGAGATCGTTGATATATATAAGAAAAAGAAGAGGTCCGAGAATAGATCCTTGAGGAACACCACAAGTAATTTCTAAGAAACATATTGGAGAAGAAGCGTCAATGGTTTACAAATTGTTTGCGATTACTTAAATAACTTTTTATCCACTTTAAAACATTTCCAGTTATTCCGTAATTTTTGAGTTTTTTAAAAAGAATTTTATGATCTATTGTATCAAAGGCTTTTGATAGGTCGATGAAGATGCCTAAAGTATATTCGGATTTCTCGAAAGATTCTGTGATACTACGAGTTAGCTGGAGAATCGCGTGTTCTGTAGAGTTGTTTTTTTTGAATCCATACTGGTGGTTGAATAATAAATTGTTGTTAGTTAAATGAGTGTAAATTTTGTTATAAATAATTCTTTCTAAGTCTTTAGAAAAGACTGGAAGAAGAGAAATAGGGCAATAGTTATTGATATTTGTTAAGTCTCCTCCTTTGAATATCGGTGTGATTTTTGCAATTTTAAATTGATCAAGAAAAATTCCTTGTCTGATTGAAAGTGAAAAAATTTTAAAAAGCACGCCTTTATAACCTTGTATGAATTTTTTATTACATTGCCATTTATATCATCGAAGCCACTTGCTTTATTTGGTTTTAGCGCACTAAAAGCTGTTTCAAATTCTTCAAACGATAATTCCAAAAAATCAAGATTAGCTAATGCAATAGATGAGATATCAATTGTTTTCTTTATATTTGGTATATTTCTTGCTAAATTAGGTCCGATCAAGACAAAAAATTTGTTTAGTTCGATTGCTATTTAACGTGGATCATAAGAGATATCACCATTAATTTTAATGTTATTTTTCAGAGCGCATGATTTAATTTTTGTTTTACCGGTAATTTCTCTTAAAATTTGCCATGTGCGTTTTGAATCACATTCGTATTGCATAAGTAAATCGGAATAGTATTTTTTTTTTAAGATTCTTTCTAATTTTTTCAAATTCTCTCGCATATTTTTTGTAGTTAGTTTTACTTTCTATCATTTATTCTTCAAGGTATTTAATGTATAACTTTTGTTTGACTTTTGATGATTTTCTTAGGGTGTTTGTAATCCATGGTGATTTTAAACTTTTGGTTTTTAAGTTTATTTCGGGTTTCGGAAAATTTACATCATATACCTCATAGAAAGATTTAAAAAATTGGTTGTAAGTAAAGTTTACGTCAGATGAAGTGTTTATATCTTTCCAATAAAGCAATGACAGTTGTTCATGAAACGATAATAAATTAGCTTCGTTATAGATACGTTTTAAAAAGGTTGTTTTTTCATTAGGTAGTACTTTTGGTTTTATATTTATAGAGAAAAAAACGGGGAAATGATCGGAAATGTCACTTTTAATAATACCCTTTTTTAAAGATTCATTAAAAATATCGTTAGTTACAATATTATCGATTATTGAAGCCATTTTTTCGGTAATTCTGGTTGGTCTATCTATTAAAGGAAACGCTCCATTTTTGAATAACTCGTTATAAAACTTTTGTGTGCTTTGCTTGACGTGATAATCAAAACAATTTAAATTAAAATCACCAATTATATAGATTAATTTATTTTCGTGGTCAGCTTTTTTTATAATATTAGTATTTAAATATGTGTTGAAGCATTCAATTTTTCCAGAAGGTGGGCGATAACAACAACTTAAAAGTATGTTTTTATTTTTTTGGGTTAAAATTTAAATTGTTAAAATCTCTTTATCGTCATCAGAAATACTCAGGTCGAGCCTTGTAAAAAATTGAAAACTTTCCTTTATGTAAATAAGCACACCGCCGTCTCGTTTATTTGCTTTACACGCTAATGATATTATTTTAAAACCGGGTAAATGGATATTACAGTCATAACTCACTTCGTCAGAATCGCACCACGTTTCGGTTACACAAATTATATTAAAAACGTTTAGAGTATCTTTTATACATAAGCAAAAGCTTTCAAAATTTTTTTTTAAACTTCTTATATTTATATGCAAGGCATTCAAATGGTCACGCTCTAGGAAGTCCTTTATTTCATGTGCGTAAAAATAACAACAATTATTTTGTAAAGGACCTGCTTCGCTAAAATAATTTAGATCTGGATCAGATCTCTCATCAATAAGATATTTATTTGTTTGAAGAAAATTAAAGGTTAATTTAAAATTATCTAGTAAAACTGAATCCATTTTAATAGTTTAGTATACTTGTAGTGCCTAGCGAAAACAAAGGAGTTCCTATTTTTAAGCATCGCGCGTAACAAGTTTATTATAAACCACTTTTGCATATTTACCTTTTGTTCTAAGTTCTTTCGCTTCAATAAACAATTTCTTTCTTAATTCTGTTGTTCTTTCGCAGTAATCTTCATTAATGTAAAGGCGTTCAGTCCAGAGTTTTAACTTCGAGTAATTTTCCATTATCGTTTGTTTATCTTTATAGTTTAAGAATTTGACAACTATAGTTCTGTTTTTCATTTTCCCACCATAATCAAGTTTTCCAGTTCTATGTGCTCTTTCAATTATTATATTGTTATTAATACCAAGTCTTGAATTTAATAGTTCGTGTATTTTTTTTTCGCTTTCTTCCCAAATTTTATTTTCACTTTCTTGGATCCCATTGAATCTTAAGTTGTTTCGCCGACTGCGGTCCTCCAATTCTGCTAGTTTGTCTTTAATTATATTATCGCTGTGTTCAAGTTCTATCCTAGTTTTGTTTAAATTCGATGTTGATGCTTTCTTTTTAGAATTATTCACTTCGTTTAAAATTTTTTCGTATTTTTCATTTATAAACTAAGCAGACTTCTTTAATTCGCTAATTTCATTTTTTAAAGTTGTATTTTCTACTTGCATACTAATGAGCTTGTTTTCTATTTTTTCAAACTTATCATTAAATATTTTCAACAGTGTACTTTCATGCTCTAACAGCTCCTTGATTTGTGAAACAGTAAATTTCGCCATTTTTAATTTTGAAAAAAAGTACGTCCGTTCACGATCACGATCATAATTTTTTCTTTAACATTAATTAAAAAAAAATTAGTTTAAAACACTACGTTCGTTGAAATTTAGAAGATCCTGTATTCAAAAAGCATCACTAATTTACCAAATAGTCGGTTAACCGCAAATTGATGAGAACTGTTATCCGGTTTTTGAAACGGATAACCGGCGAAATCACTAGTATATATATATATATATATATATATATATATATATATATATATATATATATATACACATATATATATGTATATATATATAAATATATATATATATATATATATATATATATATATATATATATATATATATATATATATATATATATATATATATATATATATATATATATATATACAATTTTGTATGGTAGTCAGAAAGTTGTTCCCATAAACTGTAGTTTTAAAAAGCCCGTTAAAAAACTATACCAGAAAACATTTTTTAACTTAAGTAATTATTTTTTTTCTTAAAAGATAGACTCCCTGACCAAACCAAACCCTCAGTCGATGTAGCAGCACTCCCTTGCGAGTCAGGCTATTTGTCAGTCGATGTAGCAGCACTTCCTTGCAAGTCAGGCTATTTGTCAGTCGATGTAGCGAGTCAGGTTTTAAGATAGTCGATGCAACAACACTCCCTTGTAGCAGCAGGCTATAAAATAGTCAATGAGGCAACACTCTGCGAATGTTTTAAAAATAAATTTTAACAAAACAACAACAAAAATACCATTAATTTAAAAAACTTTCTAGTCATTATAATTGTGGTTTTTTTAAAAAACAATAAAATTAAATGTAATTCCACATTTTTCCACATTTCTCACAATTCCACATTTTTTCACATTTTCCACATTTTTCACATTTTTCACAATTCCACATAAATGTAATTCCACATTAAATGTAATTCCACATTCCAATTTAATTGCTTTGACATTATGATGACAATAAAATGTAGCTTAATTATCGAGTTAGCAAAATTGTAGTCAAAAGAGACTTTTTTTACATTAAAAGTCTTTTTCGACTACACTATAAGGATTTATATATAAATGTTTATAAATACATACATATATAATATACATACATATATAATACATATAGATATATAATATATATACATATACAATATAAATATACATATACTATATATATATATATATATATATATATATATATATATATATATATATATATATATATATATATATATATATATATATATATATATATATATATATATACATATATATATATATATATATATATATAGATATATATGTGTGTGTGAGTGTTAGTGTGTGTGTATGTGTGTGTGCAGGGCTGTCCTAATGAGGTCATCTTTAGGGGAGAGGGTATGCTTTTTTTTTCCATAAAAAAAATAAAAAAGTCCTCATCATTTGCAATTTGCCAACTATAGTTAAAAACTTGCTCAATATGCCAACTCAAATGTGAAAATATTTAAAAAAAAAGTTTTAAATTCAAAAAAGTAAAAAAAAAGAAGAAACAATCAATACAATATTGAGGTCCAAATGATTTTACTAAAACTAATCAGAAATATTCAAAAGGAATCATTTAAAACATTACTATTAGCATTCTGGACCAAAGGTTTTCCAACAAGGAAATTTCGTTTAGAATTAGTCAATTGTTTTTTTTCTGCCTTGTATAAATAAGCTGGGACTGTAGGAAGTTCTAAAAATACAAATAAAATAATAATAATAATATTTTTATAAAACCATTTCTTAAAATAATTAAAAAAGTTCTATAACTATAGCAAAAACTATGCAGCTCTTTCTCATTCTCTTTCTGTATATATATATATATATATATATATATATATATATATATATATATATATATATATATATATATATATATATATATATATATATATATATATATATATATATATATATATATATATATATATATATATATATATATATGTATATATATACACATGGGTGTAGAGTACTCTAGTTTTCAAGGGGGGGAAAAAGTTAAAGGTTCGATTTTTTTGAGCAATGTTTCAATGCAATTCAATTTTTTTGAGCAATGTATATGTCTACTGCCTAGTGTTTTTTTTTTTTTTTCCTGATATAGAAATAAAAAATAAAAACTTTTGATTTTGATTAACTAGCATCAAGAAATCGAAGCAAAACGTAGAGAAGCAAAAAGTAGAGATCAAATTTTACTTGATTTCCAAATAAAACATTCTACAGCGCATTTCTTTTCTTTTTAAATAAACAAATATAACATAAAATCCATTTCAAGACTCTGGGTAAATACTTAATGGTATTCATTACAGAAACAGCGTTCAGCTTTTTCTGGCTCATGTTCAATTGAACAAAAATTTTGAGTCCACGCAGACTACTAAATGATCGTTCTGCGGTACAAGTTGACACTGGCTGGACCAAAAATATTTTAATAAAATCGGACAATTTCCAAAGCAATGCTTCTCAATCCAGTTTGTTTTTAGCGCGGATGAAATATAGAGCTGATTGAAAATCTTCTAATTGAACTTAATTATTTTTTTTCTGTTAGCTTTGTCAATGAAAGGATCTCAGTGAGCCTACAGTCTTTGACAATAAAGAAAATTGTCCTTATAGAAGTTTTTTATGTTGTCGATACTGCATTCAGTGCTATTTGATCCAATCACAGATTCATCAATTCTAGTTAAATGAATGTTTTTAGTTGATTCAAATCTATCAGTGAGACCATCTAAAACTGAATCCAAACCAGTAAAGTATAACTGCTTCTAAATCTCATTTGGGTCCTTTGGCTGGTAATAGGTATCCTTAAAACCGACTTCAAATCTTGCAGGTACTTTCCTCATTCTTGGAAGAGCTAAATCTATCGTTTCAGCAGATTCAGTTGCCGCATCAAAAAATGTTTCGACTCAGTACGCAAAGATCTCAAAATTTGTTTCAGGTCTGAATGATGGATTCAGCCATACTAAAGTAGAGTTGGCTTCCCCTAAAGTTGAATGCTTGAACCTTCTAGGATGGTAAAAATGATTCAAATAAATTCCAATTTTTGAAAGGAGTCAAAAACCTGAAAAGGTTTTTGACTCAAGGGGGGCAGCCTGATCCCGTTGCACCACATACTCTATGCCTATATATATATATATATATATATATATATATATATATATATATATATATATATATATATATATATATATATATATATATATATATATATATACCTTTATATGCATATATATATATACCTTTATATGAATATATATATACCTTTATATGCATATATATATATATACCTTTATATGCATATATATATATAGAATATATATATATATATATATACACACTATATATCAAGGGGGGCAAGGTTGACTCAAGGGGGCAGCCTGATCCTGTTGTACCCTATACTCTACGACTATATATATATATATATATATATATATATATATATATATATATATATATATATATATATATATATCTCTCTCTCTCTCTCTCTCTCTCTCTCTCTCTCTATATATATATATATATATATATATATATATATATATATATATATATATATATATATATATATATATATATATATATATATATATATATATATATATATATATATATATATATATAATTCTCAATATATAATGCCCCCAGCGGGCATGGTGCATTGCTCCAGGTGACATGAATCGCACACCTCTGGCAGAAGCAGCACCAAGAAAAATAATCACAAGTCCCAAGAATTCTTTTTAATCATCCCTCGACTGACTCTGTTCAGGATGCTTGTTGGCATAATCAATAGTGTCTTGCTTTATGTCAGCCACGAGACGTTCGACATCATCAGTTGCAATCCCTGGCTCATAATTAGCCGTGTCTATGAAACCCCAGTATTGCTGGAAACGTTTGAATAGTGGAACTTCTGGACAAGGTGTTGCTCCCATACACACTTGGAACACTGCACCAATTATCAGTTCCATAATGTGATGCCTACAAGCTAGTGATAAGAGCTCTTTCTCAAGTTTCTGTTCTAGGAGGACACAGGCACCAGCAAGCCGACCAGTATTTGAGCTGGTCGTGTCAAAACACATTGCACGGATGCTGTCGGCTATGCCCCAGTTTTCAATGGCTCCAAAGACAGCAGCAGCCTGTGCCTCGCCTGTTCCAGAAGGAAGCTTGGCAACTGTGAGTAGCTGAGAGACTCCTTTTCCTTAAACCAATACGGGCAGGCCATCAACTTTCTCTTTTAGTAGTCAAGTAGATCAGGAATCAGTTTGCCGTCCCAGTAAACAACAAGAGGAACGTTATCCCGAAACTCAGCTTTTATATTTGCAGATCTCTGGACTCTGTGTTCCAATCTGTGTTGGCGAATTGAGTCTCTGTTAAGAGCAAATTTATTGATATTCTGTCCTAAGCTTTTGGCAGTTTCTGCTATAACAAAAACAGCCTTGCGGTCTGACATTTTTGTTCGATTTAGAGCTGCAGCGAGTTCTGAAGTAACAACAGTTTTTCGTCCCCTCTTTCTTTTAGGTGTCTGAAAAGTGGTGCCTCCAACAGCTCCCTCATCTGCATTGTCACTAGTTTCAGTCTCTTCAACATCCTCTGCTGTACTGTTTTTAGATTCAGAACTAGATGATTTCAGTTCAGCTGTAGAAACGGCTAGCTGGTTTATTTGTCTTATTCGCTGTTGCCTGGCAAACATTTGCTCCCTTCTTTTGGAAGCCCTTTTTTCCTTAGCAGCAAGTGTTTTATCTACTCCAGCCATTGACCCCCTTCTTCCCTTTTCTCGCTGGGCTACTAAGAAATCCTTATCTTCTTGTAAAACTGATGTATTGGTCAGGGCATCGGCGTGAGCGACATCAAAGAGATCGTCAAGTCTTAAAACAAAAGCCGACTCTCTCCCAAGTTGAGTTGTTGAATACCCCATTCTTCAAATGTCTGTTGAAGCTTCATTTGGCAGTTCTGATGATCTCTCATTGGGATTCTAGCTTTTTGCCAAAACTTTGTTATTTCCGTGATGGTAACAGCCGATGATTGTCTTATAGTCTCCTTTAATTCGAGATAGTGATACAAGAAAAATCCAAGCGCCATACGTAATGATGGCAGCTTGCTGCCTGTTAATTCAGTAATAGTTTCGCCAAGTAGATACAACTCAGTTTGAGATCTGGTTAATTTTGCTCGAGATGACATTTTCAATAATTCAGAATTGAATATTTATCTGAAATAAATATAAAAAATGCATTGGAAAAATTTGACAATTTGAAGTCAGAAATTTTAACATGTATTGTATGGTTTATTTAAAAATATATTGTATATTACATACAATTTCTGTTCATTTATTTATCTCATCATCATCATCATCATCACATTCATCAGCATTATCAGTTAACGTCCATATTATAATATAGAATTAATTAATTATTAATATATTTACTATTTACAATTTTACACTCACAAGACACAAAGAGTCAAGGTATTTTAATATATCAATCTTTTAATTTACCAATTGATGAGAATCAGGTACTGGAGAAAAGAAAGTCAACACCAAAATTATAGAAATCTTCTTTAAATTTGAAAATCAAGAAAATTTATTTAAACAATATTTCAACTTAAATTGCTATTATATTTTAATAACTAAAACAATGCCTCTATTTAGTAAACAAAATAAGCATACAGCTTTAACAGTGTTGCTTAGTCAGCAACTCAGCATTGCAGTAAACAAGTCTGTCTAGCTAGTGATCCTGTCTGGCTGGGATTATGTTTTGATTTATGTAAAAATTACACAGTCAGCAAAAAATTGAATCTGGGTTATTTCCATTTGCCATGATTGCATTGGTTGGTCAATGATCAAATATGATAGTATAGACCATAATTGTGGAGTATATGATGATTTAGGACAGTGCAATTTAGCTTTGTAGTTAAAATTAAGTTCTTAATTTAACACGAGAATTATTCTGGTATAAGTAATAATATTATGTAAAAATCAAGTGTAGCCAAACCGCATCTGTCGAGTATCCGAAACTTTATCATCATTGAGCTACCCCTAAATATTGTTTAATTGTTCTAATATTTTGCCTGAATTATTTTTTCATATGTAGGAACAAAATGAGAGGGTAAGAAGATCATATTTCAAAAGTTCAAAACTAAGCTCCACCCTAACAGAGAATATAGCATATATATATATATATATATATATATATATATATATATATATATATATATATATATATATATATATATATATATATATATATATATATGTATATATATATATATATATATATATATATATATATATATATATATACATATATACATATATACTTATATAACTCCCGCTGATTGCTTGCAGGGGGCAACCTGAGCTTAAAAAAGAACTTATTTCTGCTGCAGCATGGGGCTCACTTCAGTGGCTGGTGAACTTTAATTTAGATAAAACTCAATTTTTTTCAGCCAATTATTATCGCAATAATTTAGACCGCCCTATATTTATGAACGGTAATGTACTTGATGAGTCTCCTACCCTTCATCTTTTAGGATTAACTCTTATTTCTGATATTTCTTGGAAACCTTATATCAAATCCGTTGCAGAATTAGCATCTGCTAAAGTTGCTTCTCTTTATCGAGCTCGACACTTTCTTACTTTGGATTCTATTCTCTATCTCTACAAATCTCAAATCCGGCATTGTATGGAATACTGTTGCCATATCTGGG